ACATCGGTACGGAAGGCTGGCTTTGTGCGCGCTCAAAAGTAAGGAGTGGCGAATGCCCCAATCAAAACGCATCTTCAATCGGGTTAGGATCGCTCCGCGATCAGGGGTAGTAGATCTATCAGAGCTAGTGTGTAAGTAGATAATTAAGTGTATATATTTGTTTTGTTTTTTGTTTAATAAAGTATTGTTATCATGAAAGCTCTGTGCTCTGTGGTTCGCTGTGAGTATCCATGACGTCACCAGTATACTCCGCGTCATTCTTTCGCGATAGATTTGAACCCGAAGATCTTCAGAGCAAGGTGAATGTTAACAGAAAACCTTTTAGAAGTAAAATATATCTAAAATAAGATGTGAGGAGATGGAATTATGGTTATATTTACAAAATTAGTCCATTTTTTTTAAAAACCTGTTCCAAATCGGAATCGATATTTTGAGTATTGCTTCAAACAATTTTAAGGTCGTATTCGAAGGAAGACGAAAATATGTGAAAAATATAGTTATGTACTACTATTACAGACCATTTACCTCAGTCAGTAATGCTAGTATAGCATCTCTAATTTAGTATCTCTGGAAAAATAGACTGAGATGCAAAGAGACGAAAGCCGAAACCGACTGTCTGGCTTGCGTATCCCGCAAGTCCCGCCTGCTCCGCCGGGGCTGGCCGCACACCGCCTAGCCTGGTCGTGCCCCCGCGCCGACAGAGGGCCAACAATCGGGTGGGTGACACAACGGCGAAGAAGAGGAAGGGGGTGAGGTGTTTTCGTAAATTTCACTTTAAGTCGCTCCTATTCGTCCGATTTGCATGATTGTTACGGCCTTGGATTCAGGAAGCATGTCGCCATCGCGCTATAAGCCCACATTTTTAAATTTTTTCTCGGAAGCTTGAGAACTAGTTTGAAATTCGAGATTTTGCTAGATTTTTGGAAAAAGGGCTTCGTAGTGTAAATTCTATTTTAAAAAGGCGTCAAATGCCGTTTACAGATCGAAAATCGGTCCATTGGTTCAGACGTAATCGGTAAAGTAAATTCCCCTGTGATAGTGCTGCGATCTATTGAATTTTCCTACAAGTATTTTTCGGTGCATTTAGCCTGAAGTAGTCACGTACCTAGCGAAATGCAACACTGCACTTGGGCCTACGTAGCCAAGAACCCTCAAAGGGCCTACGTAGCCAAGTCTAATCAAATCATAAATGATAATAGTAATACTGAAATCGCACAACTAATATCAACTGTTCAAGAAACTTTTCAAAAATTTGAATCAATACTAACCAAGCAAAGTGAACAAATTTCCAACCTGATAAGCCTCATGACCAAAGTAATAAATAAATAATGAAGACCTTTTGTATTGGTGTATGGAATGCCAATGGACTAGCGCAACATTGTAGAGAAATTAACAATTTTCTGCAAGACGAAAAAATTGACGTAATGCTCATCTCAGAAACTTATTTTACAGAAAAAAGTTTCTTTAAACTACCTATGACATATATGATACGAAACACCCAAATGGCACAGCACATAGAGGTACGGCGATAATAATAAGAAAAAAGCATACAGCATTCTTTGAAATTGAATTTTGAAAATGATTACTTGCAAGCCATATCTGTACTAGTTTATGACAGCTTCGGTTCATTGACAGTGTCAGCTGTCTATAGCCCTCCAAAGCATAAAATAACGATATTTCGATATGTTGGGTACAAGGTTCATCTCTGGAGGTGACTATAACGCAAAACATTCGCAGTGGGGGCAAGACTGTCGAATTTACGAGGAAGAATTCTGCTCAACGTAGTCACATCACTCAACGCAGAACCGCTATCCACAGGAGAGCCAACGTACTGGCCAACCGACCGTAATAAGCTGCCGGACTTACTTGATTTCTTTATCATGAAAGGAACAAATCAGAGCTTTACATCAATGGAAAATTTTCTCGATTTGTCCTTCGATCACTTTCCAGTCATATTAACTATTAGTGTTCATATAATAGAAAACAATTTTTAACCTAGTATTTCGAATACAAAAACGAATTGGAGTGACTTTCAAACAAGGCTTAATGTAACTATGACTGCAAACGTTCCTCTAAAAAGTGAATTCAATATAGATAAAGCAGTTGAATTTTTAACTATTAGTATTCAGCAAGCAGCATGGTATGCTTCACCAGAAACGTATGGAACAGCTACTAGCAAATACACAAAATAGTTGATGAAATGAAAAAAGAGGAGAAAGTTTGGCAAACCACATATGATCCGAATGATAAACGAAACTTGAACAGGGCAGCGCAAGATCTTAAAAGATTTCTTCAAGACTTCATGCAAATGAAACCAAGGAGTATCTCGAAAGACTATCGCCAACCGAAGACACTGACTACTCTTTCTGGAAAGCTACTTAACACATTAAACGATCAATGAAACCTGTGCCACCTATACGTGATAAACATGGTAACTGGGCTAGAACAAACCTCGAAAAAGCAACAGTATTTCCGGAACATTTTGTGAATGTTTCCCAACCATTTCCATCTGATGCCGAAGAACAAGAAATAAATATTATTCAGTTCATTAATGCAGCATATCAAATGTCTCTAACAATAAAGCATTTCAAGACAACGGAAGTTTCATAAGCAATAAAACAAATTAACCCTCATAAAGCACCTGGCTACGATCTCATCACCGGCGTTGTTCAGGAAAACCTGTCAAAAAAGCCCTAGCATTGATAACCTCAATTTTAAACATCATCAGAATTGGACATTTTCCCTCTCAATGGAAATACAGTCAAATTATTGTCATAACAAAACCGGGTAAACCTATTTCCGAAGTATCCTCGAATAGACCTTTAAGTTTATTACCAATCTTGTCAAAAGTCTTTGAAAAGCTTCTCCTCAAGCGGATACTTCCAATCATAGCAGAAAACATCATTTCAGACTATCAATTCGGGTTTGGGTTGAAACATGCACCTACTGAACAAATCCACAGAATAGTAAAAGTCATCAATGAAGCGCTGGAGAAGAAACTATATTGTTTTGGTGTCTTTTTGGATGTAGTCCAAGCTTTTAACAAGGTGTGGCACTCAGAACTCTTATATAAAATCTAAAAAATGTTACCCCACCCGTTTTTTGCACTACTTCGCTCCTATCTTACTGAAAGATGTTTCCAAATAAAATTTAAAGAAGAAACATCATTTATCTTGTCGCCGCTGGAGTACTGCGAGGAAGTGTTCTCGGTCCACTACTGTATCTACTATATACGGCCGACCGACCTGTTTCAACAAACATTTCCTGTTTCGTCAGCTATGTTATGACACAGCGTTCTTAACCTCCTATGAAAATGCCTTCGAAACATCAAATCATCAAACTTCAAAAATACCTCACTGCACTGCAGGAATGGTTCACAGAGTGGCGCAAAAAAACTAATCAAAGTAAATCTGTCCATGTAACGTTTGCACTCAGATCAAATAGGTGCCCTCCAATTAAAATCAACAAGGTAGATACCACAGATAGATTGCGTACAATACCTTGGTTTACGTCTCGATCGAAAAATGACTTGGAAAACATCAAAATCAGGCAATATTATTGGCTTCCAGGCAAAAAATCGTTCCTTTCATTGGCTAATAAACTACTGATTTATAAATCAATATTAAAACCTGTTTGGACCTACGGAATTGAACTTCGGGGCACTGCAGCTAACTCAAACCTAGAAATAGTGCAGCGTTTTCAATGCAAAACTCTAAGATTGCTTGCCAATTCCCCGTGGTTTGTTTTAAATAAAACATTGCACAATGACTTACATACACCCACAATAAACCAAGAAGTCCAACTCAATTTCCCAAAATATTATAAGCGCTTTGATAATCATCCAAATCATCTAGCATTTAACTTACTCGACAATAGCCAAGACTAAAGAAGATTGTGTAGATTTCATCCCCTGGACCTCTTAAATAGGTTCGATCATTAAAAACAAAATGTATATTGTACTGCTATAGAAAATTGTACTGTAACTAACTAAAACAGTTTGAAATTATTTTATTTCTTAAAACATAATTACGTTCATGATTTCCAGAAATGTAAATGTATTTCTATATTGTCTGTTATTTTTCTGTCTTGATCATATTTGTCTTGTTTTACTGAGTTTTATATCACTTATTTGATTATTACTGAAAATGAATTCATGAAGGGCTTGAATTCTCAGTTCCTTCACATGTGATTGTAACTGTTAAAGGATTTGCCTATTGTTCGGATGTAACAAATTCCCAATAAAAAATGTATAAAATGAAAAAATGAAAAATTTTATCTGTTTTAAAACTCATCTCATAGCAGGACTACAACAGCGTAACTGAGTTATATCAACGTAAATATTGGTTGCTTTTGCAGAAACATTTAATGGAAATAAAATAGCTTAAATATGACATCCGAGTTTTCATATTATTGTAAATATAAAAAAGCGCATTCACTAAGTAAATTTGTATGCAGTGAATAAAATAATATCATAACAGATTATCTGCACTGAAGTTACAGAATTTTCAATTTAATGATGTTTAAAGAAACAAATTATTTCTGAATTTCTTTTAATACAATTTCTAATAGTAAATACTATTTTCATACAAATCAAAGGAAATTGTCTATTCCCCCGATGCGTATTAATTATCATTAAGGTACGAAATATAGATAACTACTGATAAATATGAATAGAATTTATGCATGAAATATATTCCGCTGAAGAAAACATTTAAAAATCTCAATTAATGCAATCTTTAAATAAAACAATATGAAAAGTTATCTACTCCACTAATAGATTCATTTAATAGAGAACAAATTGCTTGGATTGGAAAACAAAATTCAATTCTAAAAGTAAACGAGTTTTCTGAGAAAGATTAGCTTGACGCATCCTATTGCTATTTCGACTCCTACATTGCAATCAATCCTATGCGATGTGAAATGATTATTTTATATACATGATGCAATGGGAGCAGCACTTTTCAATGAAGGTCTCCTTTGAGATTAACCTGAGGACTCACCGTGCAGCGAAGAGAAGCGCGTGCCGGAGACGCCGGTGGCCGCGGCACGCGGGGGGTAGAAGGGCGCCGCGTGGCCCGGTTGCTGCAGCGGCAAAGCGCCGTCTGGCGCGGCCCGGAAGAGCACTGCTCCCGCACCGGGGACTGACTTCACGACCTTGGGGTAGGCCGCGGGATACGCGGATGGGGAGGGCAGGTAGGAGGTGGGCGCCGGGATGTTGGCGGGGCGCGGGGCGGGCACCACAGCGGCGAGGCGGACGCCGTAGGCAGGGGTGGCGGCCAAGGCGGCGTTGAAGCCGGACGCTTGCTGAGGGTTGTAGTGCGCAGAACTAAGAGGGGCGATGGCGCGGAGGGGAAGAGTAGGGATGGCGGCGGCTGGGCCGGCAAAGTCGTCGAAAGATCCTGTGGAAAGAAAGAGAAATTCTCTTTCTCGACATCCAATAGCGTTCGCTTAAATTCTACGTAAATGCTTCAGGTCAGGATGAAAACTTACATTCAGGACTTTTTTAATTACAGCAATAATTTTGTTTTGTAGTTTTTCTCGTTCCTACTAAAGTAGCAACTTCAATTGGAATACAGCAATTCTTTCGACTCATGTGATATACTATTGAACAATAAATATTTGGTTGTGCGGAGAATGTGGAGTATTTTTAATGATATCCTAATATACGACAATTTGAATGTGAAATCAGCAACACATAAAGTCAGCAAATTTAACGAATGATTTGCATTGTAAACGTTACGAATTACAAATAAAGCATATTATAAATGCATTTAAAAGGAATATTAATAAACACATGCGATGAAATGAACACATCAGTCTAGCAAGAATTCCCAATCAACATAGATCCATTTTTTTAACAAGTCAGTATTTGGACTAATAGACACAAAAACTTAGGGTTTTTGTATTTACCTCTATCATTCTTATTCCGTTTACGATGTAATCCTGAACAAATGGCGTAGCGATTGTCCGCAATTTATTCATATAATCCAGGAAATGATAGACGTGATTTACAATTATGAAGTCTTCGTTAGAAAAATAAATACAATCACGCGGAAATAGTGTTGAACAATAGTAAAAACGCAATCACCATAAGAAATAAGCATTCTGTGTTTTCCTAATCCAATCTACTCTCAAAATTTACAAATAATATATATATATATATATATATATATATTATATATATATTATATATATATATATATATTATATATAATTTGTAGTAGTAGTATAGTAGTAGTATAGTAAGTAGTAGTAGTGTAGTGATAGTAGTAGTAAGTAGTAGTAGTAGTTTTGTTATCATATACTTCATGTGGTTTATATAATGTTTCTAATTGCATTACCTTCATAACTCGCTTCATTTTTGCAAATCAAGTGGTGTATTTTCAGGGTTACGGTTGTTACATATTACAACTGTTAGAAAGGTGATGTAGTTTTTTTGAGCACTACTGTAGATAGTTCGACATTGGTTAAGAGTATGTTTATGTGTTTGCAAGTAACTTCTTTTTCGTTGTAATTCTCATTGCATTATAGTATGTCTAGCTCTGCGACTGTGAAATTGAAGAGGATTAGCGTCTGAGGAATTTCCGATGTAGTAAAAAGCTTTCTTATATACAATTTCATCGGGGTCGTTACGGAGTAGAGAAGCAAAACAAGTTACAGTTATACAAAATACTGGAAATAAGAGGATTAACTGCTCAGGATTAACCGGTCAAGATGCTCCACAATTCTACCATCGCAACCTTTAGTCGGAAGGCCTTTGCCCTCTGTAACACGGAATAATTAAGACCTAATCAATTCCATCTCCCATCTCGATCAGGTTTTGTCCAGTTTCTCTGATCCATTGATCAAATGCTGAGATGGCCCCTTGTTTTACTTCTGGACGTAAATGTAGCTTCACTATGCGCACGTTTTGTTGAACTCTCATTTTGCTTGTAAATGTAGAAGTAGAAGTAAGGGCGAATTACTATTTTGTTAGCAATGCAGAAATATCATACTTGCAGCTCTTTTACCGATGCAAATAAATTTTCTATAACTTGGGAACGAAAATGTGTATTTTTTTTCAAATATTGCTAATTTCACGCTTTTTTAAAATTTATTTTTATTTACTTATTTTAAACTTTTACTCATATTTCAAAATGACGAGAAATGACGGGAAGGGATTCTGGAACTCAAGAAAACGTGCGCAGGTAATATTCTCCCCCATACATCACATACAGTTTTTCTTCTTTTTTTACTAAATAAATCTAGATCTCATTATGGTTTTGTGAATACGATTCTGCAATTGGATCTAACAATATTTTAAATTTATTACAACCATCTCATCTCCATAACTGGATAGCTAACCTTTATTTTAGAACAGCTAACTATGAGAAAAAGACTTCGAATAACTTAGGTTCATTTAATTTCTGGTTTACAGAGCTGGAAAATATTGCTTAAATATTTTTCATATAAATATTTACATTTATTCAGAAAAAAGAATGAAGGTTTTTAATCTTCGCGCTTAAAATACTCATGAAATGGAAAAGAAATAATAATCTTACTCCTTGGTATAATAGACTTGAATTGAATAATATATTTATTATTTGATTTTAAACTCAGTACTTACGCCCAATGAACTGATCAAATGACGAGAAAAGTCTGTATTATAAACGGAGGACAAAAGTGCAATCTTGATGCATGCGGCGACAGGATATCATTTTAGATTATTATTAGACACACAGAGTGGCAAGGACAGAGCCACGCGCTACTCACTGCTGTCGGCGCGGCGGCTGGGGGCGGAGGCGAAGGCTTGCTCGAAGCTCGATGAGTCCCACTGGCCGTCCTGGTCGCCATAATCCGCCAGCGTCACCAGGGTCCTCAGCGCCTGCGCACATCACAACAACACGCGAACTCATGTTTCAACACTTTGGAGTTTAAAAAAACACATTCAACACATTATCAGACTCTCCATGAGAAATAAACATTCGATGACAATAGAAAGCCAACGTAAATTTGAAGAACATAGAAGAATGTGGCGTCACCGACACTGAAATCCCAGCACCCAATGGTCTTGTTGCCTCCATAAGGGACATGTACTGGTATTTTACAAATTGTAATCGCCGAAACAAATACTTGTGGGTATGAATGATGCGAATAGTTAGAATTTACAGCTACATTCATAAGCTTGTTTTACTAACACGCACAAAAAATATCACATGCAACCTGTTCTCCAGCGTTATTCTCTAACAAGATCATTCTCCATTAGTTTCGAAAATTATGTTGCAAAATCTTATACAACTTTATTTGCTTAGCAGTTCTTTATGTTTGTCCCCTAACTGTTGAAGACATTAAAACTTCGCAGACTCAGTCTAAATTGTATTCACATCTGTAATAGGTCTATTAATCGTTTTGTAGGAAAATCTATATAAAAATTAAAAGGCGATTTTTTGTATGTTTATATGAATTAGTGGATAATTAAATTTAATAAGAATAAGTTGTTAGGCACATTCATTTGAAAATCTGTATTTTCACGTATGAACGTAAATGAGAGAAGTCGAACGTAAGAACATATATATCCTTTGATTCTCTAATATTATTCACTGTTTGACTTTCTCCGCATTCACTTGAAGTTCATGAAATGTATTAAATTCCAAGGCAATACTGTTTGTAGATGTTTTGCAAATTCATTTTTATAAATACGATAATACAAATGATAATGAAATCTGATGCGTGGTTCTTTTAACGTAGAAACAGGAACAATAAGTGTTGCCATTCCTGTGAAAGAAATTTATGACGTCGTCGGGCGGTCAAATTGCTACAGGGGCTCAATCAATACCACCTACATAGCTCTATTTAGGTGGCGTTGATTAAATTCCCTAAGTACTAAGACCGCTGCGTCAAAACACGCAAAAAACACGTTTCGGAGAATTTCTTAAAATTGAATGACATCTGAAATGTCTCGTTAGGTTACTTCCCGGTCCCACGGAAAGCGTCTAACTGTGAGTGATGGAACCGGACACACACACACACTCATTAGCAGATGCTCAAATATTCTATAGAAATTAAATACAAAACATTAACCACTGATTTCAATTGCATGTAATCACTTGCAGTAAAGTATGCCTGGAAATATTCTTCCTAAACGAATGGCTCGCTGTGACGTACGAAACGTCAATCACATTATTTTCATGCTTGTTATAATTATAATGTCACATAGCAGATTTTAAATGTAAAAACAAATAAATGTTTGAACATGTTTTTATCCAAAGACATAAATAATAATAATTAATTTTACTGTTTGACTCAAATGAGAAGTTCGTTTGCTGATACAAAAACATGTTTTATTTATCGGGAGCGAAATTTTCTTATTTTCAAATGTGGCCAAAAATGCTCGCTGTTACCTTTATTAATTCTTCAACTATTGTAAGAGTGGCGTCGGGATTCTAGACCTGAAGTTAACATGCGCAAATTATACTTCATTCTCATGCCGTCTCCACACACTTTTATGAAGATACAGAAATGAAAATAAAATTACCTTGGTGGCACTGAAGCCACCGAAGGAATCGAAGTTGCCGGGTGGCGAGGCAGCAGCGGCGGCCGAGTCGGGGGCGGCGGTGACGGCACCCAAGAGGGAGGCGGGAGCGCCCACGAAGGACATGGTGGGTGTGGCGGTGTGGGCGGCGGCGGTGGGCGCGACGCGTGCGTGCTGCGGTGACTCCAGCAGCACCGCCATGGCGGACGACGCTGAGCAGATGCCCCACAGAAGCACGGACACCTGCGGAACGGCGTTCCAAAACTAGGTCAACGTTGTTAAACGTTTCTAAGCAAATAATGTGACTAGGAAGTTTTAGAATAATTTTAGCTTCTTGATTTGCGGGTAGGCCGTTGAACATGTCCCCATTTTCTCTGTAAAACGAAAGTTAAATTCACTGAACCCTGTCTTAAGCGGTTACTCATGATTCCGACAAAAATGAGCGTTATTACAAGTGGCCGCATAATAATATTATAAAATGGAAAGCGAATATCTGGTTCAATTTTACTATTTACAATGAAGTTAGTATATAACATCGTCGGATTAGTATATAAACGTCCATCCGTCGGGTGTACGTAAACAATACTATCGCCTAAACTAGCATTTTTTCCAAAGTGAATTCACCCCTGACGATGTGAACTCAATCTACTTTGAAAAATATTTATTAACTTTTGGGATACTTAACAAGAATACTATGGGCAATTTTCAACGTTTTCTCAAAATTGGTCCAATTTTTTACTTTAAATTTTCTGAAAGAATAAAGTAAATTTGGCATAGCTCCGTTTTTCACTAATTACACTAATTTTTCGAAAATTTCAAAACTTTGAAATTGTTTCGGCTTGTTCCCACTACAACAAGATTGAAGAAAGAGATTTTTCTTTCAAGTCAATTTTTTTTCTCCATAGTTAATTCTTTCATAAAGGCCATGTAAAGTTTGTGGAAAAATTTAGAACTTTTCGCGCAATATTGCATGCAAAATACGGAAGCAATATATGCAATATTAAAAAGTAGCAAAAACAAGATTTTCTGGATAACGGATCAAATGTTTTCTTTAAAATTTTGCTTGGGATAGTGTTAAATGTACTCTAAAAGGAAACAAACGCCTTATTGCTCTATTCTTTTGTGTTTTCAAAAAATGACAAAATGCAATTTTTTCGACTTGTCTCTTACATTGTTAATACTGTGCTTCAAATGATGGCTTACAAAGTTTCTCGGAAACTCAAAAGTTGTATGTGAATATTAGCTCAAAATTCCGAATTTTTAGAAACGCTCAAACGTCAATTTCTCAAAAAACGGATCTAATTTTTTTCTTCAAACCTTTCTAACGGATTTTGAGAAACAAATTTTTGGGTTTCTTTACATGGAGCCTCTCAAACATTTTCAAAATTTTCTCAACACGGCAAAAAATATTTTCTTTTAATTTCTAGAACAAAAATGAATGAAAAACACACATTTGATAGAGGTCCGATTTTCACTGTTACCTCTGTATTTTTGAAAATGATTGCAAAATATTGAAATTTTTCCGTGTCTTCCTACAACTACAAAATAAAAAAAAAAAATTCCTTCATATAAATTTTGTTTTCCATAATTCTCTCGTCTTTTCATAGTTCTTAAATTGAAGTTTTACACTTTTTTTGAAAATTTTAGTAGTTTTTCCCTATAGAGAGTTAGTTTTGAACGGGCAATTCAAAGAAATACCAAAAACAAGAATTTCTCAAAAAAGGCTTACATTTTTTCTTTTGGTAGAGGTAGGGCTATCTACTGTAACAAATAACTGAAACATAATTTGTCTCTATTCTTTTGATTTTTAAAATATCCAGTTGTAATTGTTTTGACATCTCTCTCACATCGTTAATATTTCCATTAATTGCAATTTGTAAACATTTATGAGTACAGATGATTTAAATGAGAGATTATAAGGTTTCTCGAAAAATCAAAACTTAGATCTGAATAGCTGTCGAAATTTCGAGTTTTGAGGATCAAACTTCATTTCCTCGAAAATGCATCGAGTCCTGCTAACCCCAGATACGAGAAACCGGCTTTCCTTGCCTAAGCCTTTGTTTGGGGATACATTCTATTTTCATGTAGTGTTGACAAAATGTCTAAGAGAGATTATGACATTACCATCATGATCGAGCTTAGCGGCGATAGCAAAGTTAAATTTAAGAAAATGAAATTAAATTAACCAAGTGCGTACTGCAATAGCAAAGTTAAATTTAAAAAATACTAAAATAATTTAAAGAAAAAAATAAACCGTTGTTTGAATTTGTAATTAGTTCACGCGAAATTCATATTTGATGATAGTTTGTACTCTACCTCATTTGTATTATAGTTCGTTCGCGAATTTTTAGAATTTTTAATATTATAAAAATTGGCTTTTAGTGACAACATAACAACTTCGCCCCTACATTCAGATATATAAAATTATGTTCATGCTACACCCGTTACCCGGCTGCAAGAATGGAAACTAGAAAATATATTTTTTGGTGTTGATCACTGTTCCTAGGTAATGTTGTATATATTATAAACGTTCTCGTTGTTGTTATATATTATATATTATATATATAATATATATAATATATATATATATATATTGTAATAACCTTTTTTGAGCGTATTTCAAAATGGAAAGACTTTCTTGTAATCGGTGAAACTACAGCTTTCAAACATAGAGATTTGGAGACAAGTTTCAAGAGACTTCCAAGGCAACTTTCTTGTAACGTATCTCACTGCAGGGCCACTAGACTTAGGAATTAATTATATCTTGAAGAGTCAATTTATTTTACTCATCTGGCCTTTAATATATACTATAGATAAACGAGACTTCAATAACAAAATAATGGTAATAATGAATTTTAATGGCAAGTTTTTTCTGACCCAGAAATATTACTTTTCGCAAGCTTGTGACATTATTACTCCAGACGTTTTGATCAGCATATGACATATTAAATAAAACCTGTTTATTTGATAATACAGTGCGAACCGTTGCGCACACCTGTGTGAATGCAGATAAATTCAATGAAATATTTCATTCTTGTATTAGGCACACGGTGACTCCATGTAGATCTTTGTCACCTATTTTTATATTTTGAGTTGGGATTGTGATAAGACTCCTGAAATTTGTGTGTAATTTACTTACAGTAAAGTACCCTTTATGTTTTTTAAAACTGCATTCCCTTTTAGACACAATAAAAATCTAAAAGTATTACTCTAGGACTTGTGTATTAATAGTTATTTAAAATCATTTAATATAAAAATCAAATTAATAAAAGCGTATAATTCGATTCAAAACAATCTCAAAATAAATTCAAATAGCTGTTCCAAAATATTCACGATATTCTTCGTAATTTGTTCCCATTAGAATACGTTCTAAGCGAAACAAATGCCTACCTTTATTTGCTGCACCATCCTGGAGAGAATTTCAAGTGTCGAAGCAGCGACTACAAGGGCGCGCGTGCTCGCGGGCCTTTAAAGCCTATTGTCGGGAGCGGAGGTGGGGGCGCTATCCACAGCGCCTGCCGCCGCCACCGCGGGGCGGGCGAAGCCGAAAAAGCGGTGGCGGTTCGTGCGTGTCGCCTTGCTTCTTTTTTCGCGCTTCCTCCCGCCTGAGCAGAGCACGACGCGACGCTCGTCTCTCACCGCTCGCCCCTCACCCTAGTCCATTCGCACCGAATTCATTCCCCTTCTCACTCTTTATTGCCACTCTTATCGACTCACCGACACTCATTCCTCCCACAACTACCGCCCCCACCCTCGTCTCATTCGATCCTCTCGCTCCGCACTCCCGCCCGGCCTCGCCCCTTCCAATCTACCACCGCATTCCTCTCCTCAATCCCGCCCTCTCATCCTCACTACTTCCGTTCTCATTCCCGTCCTCACTCTCATCCTCCACATCCGCCAACACCCTAGTCCATTCTCTCGCTCCCACACTCGCCCCCTCCATCACGCTCGCGTTCTCTCACGCCCTCGTACGCCTGGCTTTTGCAATTGCTCTCGAACTCGCTCTTGCCCACGCTCACGCCCTCGGTCTTACTTCGCTCCACCCGTGTTCGTGAAGTTAGCACAAACATCACAAAATTGAAAAAGAGTAGCCCAGAATTTGTTCTAATTAAGAACTAATTTATATCCAATTTTAAAACTTTCGAAACTTTGCACAACATGGAAATATACCATGCTTAAGGTAGTCCTTTAACTTAACGTTAAGTTAGCATACCCACACAAGAAAAACGAATGAAAAAAAAAAACTACACATAAATACACCAGAATTTTGTTCAAAATAAAAATTAATTTATACCAAAATTTAAAATTTCGAAACGATGTTCACATCGAATATACCACGCTTATGAGTGAGTGCGCTATCTTAACGTTAAGTTACCCACACAAGAAAAATGCACGAATTAAAAAACTAAATAATCGAAATTTTGTTATAATTAGGAACTATTTAAAAATCTTGAAACGATGCACAACATCGAATAATACCTCACTTCAGTGCGGTGTGCTACTTAACGTTAGTAAACATACCCACGGAAGAAAACGCAGTTACAAAAAAACTACAAACACAAATCTTTTTGGTAGAAAAATTAATTCGGCACGGATTTCAATTATGTCATGTTTTATGCGTTTTTCTTTTGCTTGTATCTTATATTGAGCCCTACAAACGATACTTAATAATGGAGGTAATAACATTTGCATTTTTCAGAATTTTGTTAAACACAATCGTCTCACTCAATTTGTCTGAGGTTCGTAAATACCGTTTATCAGTAAATGAACCTTGGTTTAATTTTCCTATCGAATTTACCCGAACCAGAGTCATTGACAACTTGCAGAATACTGAACCTTCCATAGCTCAACTTGCCCTTGAGATAAAACATCATTGGAATTGTTTCTTCTTGATCCAGCCTTTCAACATAATGAAATTTAGAATAATATCTTTATAAACAGTTTCCTTTCTAGCCGAAATATTAACAATGCAAGTCGTGCTATTGTAAAGGCTAGATAAAATAATATGTTTTAATAAATAGTAATCTAAAATAATATAATTCGTCATAAAACTGCTTCTTCTGCGTTATTAAATTCACCAATAATTTGTTAACATACTAATAACACTTAAGTGGAATGAAAGTAACTTAAACACACCAAATATATTCAAATCGCTAAAAATTGTGACAAAATCACAAAAATTCAAGAGCACACCATATGCGTCCCGTAAGTTGGCGTCAGCAATCAACTAACCAAACTACTACAAAATACTAACCAAAATATATTCACATGTTGCATTCAAACACGGGACTGCTTTGATCTCTTTCACTCGACTTAAGCGAATGAATATATTGTCTGTGTGTAATGATCATGCAAGAATATCAGCAAAAAGTTATGTCTATTTAAAGCAGCACATCAGTTCTTTTTAGTTGCACTCAAAGCAAACAACTCGAGAAATTTCCATATAAACTTAAAAAGTTCTATATGTTACGAATCAGTCCAGAAGTAGTACATTGAATGTATTTGAAGTGTATTTGACTGTATTAT